AAACCACTTTCCCCAGGGGGAAACTGAGGACTTATGTGACCGGTTTGAAGTCTCAGGGCAACCTGTATCAGTGGGAATTTGACCCAGGCCTCTCCATTCATGTTGTTCTGCCCCTAAGCATTAGGAAATATCCTCATGTTACCCCATGCGTTTTGGGATCAGCCTGAAAGGGTGATGGAAAGGATAAAGTCCTTTTTAGATGGTTAAGATTAAGAGAAAAAAGTAAAAAAGTAAAAAGAAAAAAAAAACACAAAGAAAAAAATACAAATTAAAACCACCCCAATATTCCCACTTGATGAATGGGGAATTTATATACTCTACAACTCTCCTACAATGAGCAAATCTGCAGTAAAGTGAGGAATTAAATTCATTTGCAGCATCTCTGACCTTTTAATCACAAGACCAAGCTTTTTTATGTGCATCACTGCAGTGGGGAAGGAGGAAAACTAATTGTAATATAAGCAAAATACAGTTTTCATTTGGGAAGTATCATCTTTAAAAGAACAAGCGTCCACCCTTCTAGCTGGAAGCCACCCCAACCCCTCCACATCCCTGCCTGTGATTTCAACAAAGAAGGGAATGTTAGTACTCAAAGTTCACAGATTTCCAGGAATTACAAGGAACATCGAGATCCACCACTTCAGCCATGAAGGGAGGGGGAGAATAAAAACCATTCCATTGCTGAAGTCTCAGAAACCCACCAATTCCACAGGTACTAACTCCAAAAACTAAGCTGGAAGACAGGATGAATAGACATAAAGATCCCTGGAAGCCCACCCGTGCTATGATCCACGATGGAAGCACACTAGAACCTATTTAGCTCTGATGAATTTTGATCTCATACACAAGGTTAAAGCTTGCTCTGACATTTTGAGAGCTGACTGGGATTTGTGCTGTCTAAAAAGCTTGGAGTGTCTATTCTGGAAATGCTTCTGGACTAAACATCGATAAGGAAACCTCCTGCCCATGCTCACACAGTCCTTTCAGTGCTGCGCTCCATTGGGGTTCTGTCTTTCCTGCTTTTTGACCTCTGCAATAGCAGCATTGCAGGATTTGAGCTGTATCATTGCCGTTAAAACAGAGGCAGCATTCTGAAGCCAGATTCTGATCAGATTTACCCTGGAATTCTGACTGGAAACACTGCAGGAACCGAAATACTCCAACATATCCTACAGACCTTCGTTGGTGGGAGAGGGTCACTGTGAATTTCGGTGAAGAAGTTCCCTTTCATATAGAAAAGTGCTAGTTTTCAAGAGTGAATGGAAAAATAACTGCGAGGTCCTCAGGATCTAAATCTAGTCCCCAGAGCAAAGGTCACAGCAGAAATGTTTTATTCAGCATAAGAACTTTTGGAATTCATTCAAGGAGAAGAAAAAACCCAACAACAACAACACAACTGACATTTTTTTCCCACTGAGCATTTTCTTCCTTTTTAAAGAGGGATACAAGTTTCCATGATCTGGCAAACACCAATGAATTGTGCCTCCCTATAGTAATAAACAGATAAACCAGTCCATGGGAGCATAAAAACAAGGAGAGAAACAAAGAAAGGGGAAAACACTTCACTGCTTTTGGAGTTATGGCCATCTGCAGCAACTTGTAACATAGATCCCAAACTCAGCTAAATTTGGGGCACAATTAGCTCAGTGCAACAGTGGATGGTTATAACCTCAACTGATCCGATGGCTTCAGTAGTGTCCTGAGGTCTGCAGGATGAGTCTATGGCGTGGGCTGAAGCAGAGCACAGACACACCCCCCACACGCAGCCCCTCGCTAGCTCAGGTGAAACAGAATAGTACTAAAGTTTCAGCACACAGACACGGGTGTAGATCTCACCCAGGAGCTACTTCACCACCCTGAGATGTTCCCAGAGTAGTTCAGTTAATTGTGCCCATTCACGATAGGAGCTTCCTTTGAGTACCATAGACAGCTTGCTTCATCTTGGGCTCCAAACCCCTCTGCCTTGCAGCTCCTTTGCTGTTTAGGAAGCCTGCTTGTACAGTACAGCAGCTTAGGGATCAGCAACGTGGCGCCCTTCCAATCCTGTATATTTCAGCAGGCCGCTGCCTTTGTGCAAGGTGCAAATCAAACACAGAACTTGCTAGAACTAAGCTATACACAGCTCAACCTAAAACCGGGTTCCATCCCTGCTCTCACACCTTACGACAGTCACCTGCTAGAGCTTTGAAGATATTGGTCTTTCCTACACTGTACAATCAAACCATGTTTTAAGGACAGCTGGAATCCTTCTATTCTAATAGAAAGCTCTATCCCATGTCACTCAGCACGTGTGTTTAGACACAGCTCTGCATGAACACAAGCATTCTCCCTCCATTTTACTTTCTCCTTAATTTCTCTAAAATCATGTTAGAATTTAACAGCTGCATTGTTACACCCCAAGTTTTTACCTTTACCCACCATTTCAAACAATAAAAAACCCACCTTCAAACCAATTATTAGTTAGTTCTAACAAGAACCTGTAGTTCACTTTAAACTAAAAAGAAACCCACCATGAAGGCAACACTGAACTGAAAATCTTACCTTTCTCAGCCTGCATGATGGCAAGCTGCATTTCAGAGATTATATTCCACCTGCTACTGAGCTCTTAAGCAGAGATGTTTTCTTCTAAAGAAGCCATATAAAGACCACCTGAATAAATAAGAACACTGCTGCCCAGATTCCCAAGCTAGTTCAGAACACATAGAGTTCTCCAGCAGAGTTTTCTGCTTGTTTGAAAGACAGGAAGATCAGCCCCACTGAATGTAGCTTGGGAGAGTAGAGTGTTTAGTTAAACTCATAGGTAGTTGTACTTACTGCTGTGGACATGTCTAGACAACAAATTCCTCTGTGCACAGACACGTACAGCATAAACTTTGTTAAAAGATTTGGATTACATGCGTTAAGATGTAGTACACAGGATTATCCCTCACTCCTCAAACCTTGTGTAACTGGGTAAAGTGATGGAGTAGGAGCAACTGTGCAGAAAACAGAGTGATTTGCTAGATGCTGCCCTGTAATCAGTGGTACAACAAGATTTAGCTTTGAGTTTAGCTTCTATTCACTAAACCATGCCACCAGACAGATTTGTCATCATGCCTTTCCTCTGTGGCCTAAATCTGATTTAGTGACTGCCTTTAAAACCAAGTGAAACAGCTTTATTGGGCTTTACCCTTTATTTCTCTCATCTACCTTATTATTTTATCCTCACTGGACTCCAGATTTCACTTCCAATGTGGAGACATGCACACACACAGATGAAAAGGAAGAACTGACACTCAGCAAGAGGCTGCCAGACTGAACCTAGAGGACTCTTCCACACGAAAGGGAATGGCTATTGCTGTTAGCAGGGGAGTTACAAAGAAAAGCTCTAGGCTTTTGATAAAGTTAAGAAAGGTTGGGACTCACCGACCACACAGATAACTTGTGATGTGTTTTACACGCTGCTGTTAAAAAGAATAACCCTGTTCTTTTCCCTAGTTACACTTCCATTGTGTTTTACATCAACAGATCTCAGATCCCCACAGAAAGCATCAGAATCTTCATTTTGCATGAGAACACACAGCTTGCGCGAGACAACAAACTCAGTGAGCGGTAGGAACTACCCCCTTCATGGACTTAATTCCTGGGCTAATACAGTGCTCACGTCATGCTGCTTCTCCAGCAGCAAGACCAGTTTCAGAACATTCAGATTGGAAAGTTCCCAAAAGCAGATTCATACCAAACATCAACACAGCCAAAAATAAGCTTGAAATTTCACAGAAAAGGTCAAGATGGCATATCTGGGACTTCTGCTTCCAGTCAGGAAACTGCCCCCACACAAACAGCCCAGTTTGCTGCCACTGCCAACTCTGGCCCCAACCACAACTTGTAAATACAACATTAAAAGGGAAAACCATGGGGTAAAAGGTGCAAAGAACCATCACATCAAAGTTCAAAAATACTTAGATTAACTCTGTCATGAAAAAAAAGAAAGAAAGAATTGCAAATCTTTATTCAAACCAGCTTGACCATTCTGAATGCCAAAACAAATTCACAAGACATACTATGACAAATAATGCTTATTAGAATGTAGATAGAGCATGCCAGACACATACAAACATAAAAGCTGAATCCACAATCAATCCACTTCAGCAGCAGCTCTCCACTGGCCCCTTGTACCAGCTGCTTCAGGGAAAAGAAGCTCTTTAAATAGTTACTATAGATTAAACTGGGGGGAGAAGTTTCTTCCTGACTTTCCCTTATTTCCTGTTCTCCTCTGGAGATCTTGGTTGTACACTTCTTTGTGAAAGCTCTGTCTACTCTTATTTTTCCTTTTGGACTTTTGCTGAACTCCAGATCACAAACACCACTTCAAGTCAGTGAGTTCTCAGGCAACTTCTCAGCCTCCACAAGTACTCACAGTTTTTAATGTGCCAGTTCATGATTTAATAAACTGCTGCTCTCCCCTATTCGTTATTTACCTAGAAACTGGCAAGCAGAACCTACACTTGGATCTGGAACTGAGTAACATGAAGCTGCTGTTCTACATAAAATTGTTCACAACCCCCAAGCCATCAGTTTTAATTCTGCCTAACATGTTACACTTCTGCCTTTACTCCTTCCTTCCTCCCCACATTCCTACAAAAATGGTATTTTGTTAAAGAATATTACTGAAGCTGCCAGGTTGCTCAAAGCTTTATCTGTCTCAGTAACCCAGTTGGATCATATCCCTGGTGAACAGAAAACATTCCAGATGTATATATGGAATATTTGCTCACAATGAAAGCGATACACAGGGAACTTAGTTTAAGAGATGAACATCAATCATTATGCCAAGGTAAGCCCAGATGGACTAAAGCCAACCAGCTCTTAGGCTGGCAGTTCTGTAAGGAATCACGAAGCACAGACATCCCCAATGGCAGACGCTGACAGATAACCATCATCACAGACCCTCAGCCACCTCAAAGCACAACCAACAATTTGGGGTTGCTTTTGTAAGGGAATGAGGATTTGTTTCCTACCTGTCAATGATCACGGGGTCAGACGGAGTCTCATTTCTGTTGCCACAACTCTTCTTCTCACAGCACCGACTAAAGAGAGAGAGAAAACCAAAGTTAAAGAATTACTGGGACAGTTGATGGCAAAGCAACCAACTAAAAGTCTTGTCTGCAAAGCTTCAGAACTCAACACGTGCCTAGAAGAGCGACAGAAAATTCTGGCTAGGCTTTCCAGAAGGGAATTGGGTGCCCAAGTCCTGGTTGATTCCAGCTGGATTTTGGCCCTTGGCTCCCCAGTCTTTTTTTGAAATTCCCAACCAAAAATGAAAAGCAACATGGTCATACTTTAGACTAAGGTGCTATTTATAAAGCTTAACAAATGATTAACAGATGTCCTAATGACATGATGGGCATGAGTATTGTGTTATGAACTTGATGATTTGTTTTATTCTAATAACAGATTTGTTGACTACTAAATATCCAGTAACCCCTCAGTTTCATACATCCACAGGAAGTTTCAACACTTAGTAGCACTAATGAATGCCCTAAGTGACACAAACGCCTTCCCAAATTCTGCTTTCCAGAGTCTGCTGAGGTTGTTCAAATTCACCCCATGGGATCAAGGAATTGCTGAGGGGTTTGTACAGCACAATAAATAGGTGCTGAGTACATTTGCAAAATTCTGGATTTCACAGTTTTCCAGCTGGAGAGCAATTCCAAGCAGAGGAAATAAAAAAATCCAAATTCAATGAAATGCTTCACTTCACTGAAGGCAGACAAAGCATGAAAGAGGGGCTTTTCTCTCCACCACACACACACACACACACACACCCCCCAAAAAAAATGCCTAATATTCAATTATAAATACCTAAAAGCATTTGGACAAAACCCCTCTTTCAGATATGGAAAGGAGAAAATGCAGGTATTTGGAATTGAAGTCACAGCGTGTGCCAGGAACTTCCCGTTCATGAGTTGCAATTGCCCGGCAAGATGAGATCCAACCAGCAGATCTATTTGAATAGCAGCTCTAACCGTTTCAACATTTCTACATTCCCTTTGCCTCAAACCTGCACTTACTCATTGATGCTGGTCCTTTTAAAATAAAAGGATACACTAAATATTTAAAAATCCCTGGGGCAGAGCCTCGAGCTGCTGTAAATTGTCATAGCTCCATCGACTTCAGTGAAGCTATGGTAATTCACACTAGCTAAGAATATCCTATTCCCTCCCTCTCCCAACTTTAAGTGCATCTTTTATGCATTTCACTGCCTAATGATTGTTTAAAGAGAATTGCATATTTTTGTCCTAAAAGCTGAGATAGTTTCTAAAGAAAAAGAAAAAATAAGCCCCCCAAAAGCAGAAAACCCTCACATAAAAGAATATCAATTTGGCATCTACTTCCGACACATCCAGTGTAACGCTGGGATTAACGCTGGTGCTGGTGTACATGTTGCTCTAATAGAACAACAAAACCCCCAATTTTTAAGATACTTTTGTAGTGCTTGGGGTTTTTTTACAGCTAGCAGAAACAGCACTTGTTTCCTCTCTGCAATAATACTAAATGATATAGCCTTTAGTGATGTAACTTATGCAGATGATCATAAACATATATCTGATTGCACCCTGGTAATATTCAAGCAGAACACACAAGTAGTTCCTCCACATCTCATCAGCTCGTACACCCAGGGCTGCCATTCCTTGGCACAGGAAGTGTTTTAGGATGAGTTCTGCGAGACTGGAGTTCAATGTGGCTGGGATCTGAAAAGAGCACATTCAGGTGATGGGAGTTTGCACAATTGTCGCAGTTCGGAGCTCTACATTTGGAATACCTAGAAATTTTCCTTCTAAAACTGTGGCTTTCAGCTAAACTCCAGTCTCTGAATCCTTGTTTCCAAGTATTCCATCACTGTACCCAAGTACTAACACTTCCCCGGGTTTGGTTTACAAGTGCTGTCTGTGACAGAATTGACTCGGTTCAATTTAAGTCAATGGCAAAAATCCCAGCGCTGGTGGTCTGGGATCAAGCCTACAGTATTCTCTTAGAGCAAACTATCGGCATGACTTCACCAATACTTACACTTCTGTTACAACATTGCGCCAGGAACATACCTTTGGAGATGCCCATTTGCTTAAAACAGGAATATTGAGGCCTGTATTTTCTACACCTTTTCTTATTATTCTTTGCCCTCTAACTAGATCTAACAGGGAAAAATAATGGTTTACATTATGAAGAGTGCTGAAAAAAAACCCAACAACAAAATCAAACACAGAAACCAAAAAGCTACTATGGCCAACACCAGATCTCCAAACTGAATACTCCAGAAGGCTCGTGTCAAATGCAAACTTGCACCATTTCCCTCCTCACACTTGACTAAAATGGTTTTAAAATTCAGCCCTCAACTTCCCTCCCCTCCCCATAAAAAAAAAAAAAAAAAAAAATCTGTCTCTAATTTCAAACTCAAATAAGCTCCCAGCATGGTGGCCTTTGTTTTGTTTTCTTCTCCCCAACTCCTCCCTGCAATTGCATAACAAAAGTGTCTAAATTCACACCATCTGGCCGATAAAGACACGGGCCCCAGCGGCCGCCTGGCCCAGCTGATTAGAGCTCCCGTCTAGTCTGAGCCTTGTGGCGAAAGTCACAGCTGTGGGGCTCGCCTGCGCTCAATACAACTCTGTTATTAGCCAGCTGTAGGCCCTGAGACTACTTCTGTTCACATTATAATACCTTTTAACCCTCTGAGCATTGAGGGCATAGGGGGTTGCTGGCAGCAGCATAACAACTAGTTTCCTCTTAGTCGGTAATTGGAAGAAAAAGAAGAGGAGAAAAAAGTTATTCCAGGAGAGGAGAGTGTTTACCTTGATTTCCAGCCATTGGGGGGAAGCCTGTGTGGCTGAGAGAGACCCACCTAACAGGAACAGTTCCCATTAGGGCAGAATAACCCAAATGAAAAATTCAGATGTGCAAATAAATAAATAGGAGCCTCTCAGTGAAAGCACTAATTATTGAGAGTTGAGAGTTTAACTTTCAATGGGTATGACAGATTGTTGTAGCCGTATCAATATTTAGACAACTTTCCTGCTAAGCATGCATCTGTCACCGTCTGAGGCAAAGAGACGGGGTTTCGCGTGCACTTGTCTCCATGCAGCCGGAAAAGC